CAACAATGGCTGAATCCCGTCTTAAACTGTGACCACAAATCAAACCTTCTTCCCTGCGGCTGCTCTTGTCACGGCAGTGAGAAAAATAACGAAGGCACACACACAAAAAACAGATTTCCCTGACACGCACAGTCCTATACCCACCTTAGTACACACCGCTACACACAGCCACACATGCGTGTCTACACACATGCTCACAGTGCGCTCACGCTCTGTTTCACAGGCGCTGACTCCATGCCCCCTGCCCCCTGGCCTTACCTGGGCACATCCTGGCAGCTGGCTGCCCATGGGTCCCGGCAGGTTTGGAAGCAGGGGCTGGCACAGGCATCATAGTGCCACTCGCAGATGGGGTAGGCGGCCCCCAAGGGCTTGGCATCTGGAAAGACAGTCCCCTCCGAGTCGCTGGGCTGAGAGACTGAACACCAGACCCACCCGGAGTTACTCCAGTCAGCCCGTGCCCCCCCCCCCCGCCCTGTAGTGAGGACAATGACAGTGGGCAGAAAAAGAGTGAGAAGCTGAGGTCCTGCCCGCTTCTCGGCCTGGTGCCCCAACGGTGCACTTTAAACTCGGGGCCAGTATGTGTCCTAAGCAGGAAACAGAAGCCAAGCGCTCCATGACCCTCCCCGCTTCCCGCTCACTTCCACACAGGCCACGTTTTTCTACACTATGCAAGTGGCCTGTGGCAGCGGGCAGGACCCAGGAAGTTGGCTAGGTCTCCACCCACCCCGCCACCACTCCCTAATCTGCCAATATGGACAACATCAGATCACCTCCCATTCCAGGGGTAGCCACCAGGGAGCACCCCTCCCCTCTCCAAAAGGATGAGGATTCTGTTCCTTGGGGACACGCAGAAGGGAAGAGGTCAGGAAAAGCAGCTGAGTGAGGCAGACACCCCACTTAAGAGCAACAGCAGGGCAGACACTTACCCAGAAGGCGGAAGAGCACACCGCCACGAAATGCCTCTGTGTGTTCGTATGTCCGCAGAGCCAGCTTAAGGCCTGATGAGTGGAGGAAGGAGCCAGGCTTTGCCAGGGACTCCAGAGCCACCAGGCCGGCCTGCCATGTCCCCCGGTGCAGGGAGAAAGAGGCATGCTGTTGGAAGGCTTCACCACCCTGCCACTTAGCCATCCCTAGAGACCCGTTGGCTGTGGTGTGCAGGAAGAAGTTGGGTCTGTCCGCCGCCTCCAGGGACACAATATCAGGGTCTGCAGAGCCACGGGAGTTAGGTCAGTGTACACAGAGAACCAGATTTGGGGGGATGCAGCATACCAGCACGTGTCCTCACACTCAGTGGGTGGGGCTGACAGCTCCCTGGGGACTCGCTGGATCCTGTTCCTGTCACTGCACCTCTGACCTTCCTCGCCATCCTCAGTCTTCCTCCTTCTGCTCACAGGCCACCCTCTGGTCATTCATCTCTTGGGACTAAGCGGGGAGATTACAGAAGCCCACAGCTGCCCTCTCCTGTCCTGTCTTGCCTCCCTTCAACGGGGTCTGGCGATTCAGCAACTTAGTGTCCTCATCACGTCCAGTGCTCCCCATTTCTTCCTGTTACTGTAAGTTTCCGTTTCTCAAGACCCTAAGCTAGCTCGACCCAGGCAGACCCCCCACATGGGGCTCTGAAGCGCTCTCTCTCTCTCTCTCTCTCTCTCTCTCTCTCTCTCTCTCTCTCTCTCTCTCTCAGGTCCTGCTGTGGGGCTGGAATGCCTGCTGGGCAGGACTAAGTCTCTTAACGTCTCTAGTTCCTGTGCCTAAGGCTCAGAGAGAGGGAGACCAGGAGAATGGAGGAGAGAAGGGGGGTGGGCACAAAGAGAAGGGAAAGAGAGAAGGAGAAAAGAGGGAGGAGGCCAGAGAGAAGGAAGAGGGAAGGACACAGGAGAAGGAGAGCAGCTGCCTCTGTGACTCTCTGAAAACACAGTCGGGGACAACGGCCTGTGGGGGTCCTGTCCTAGGCAGTTTAGGGTCACAGAGGTTAAGAAACTAGTCTGAACTAGTAACAGAGCGTGGGGCTGGAGCCCTGTGGGTGGCTTCAGACTTCAAGACCCCCCCCCTCCCCTGTCTGTCTGCCGGCACTGCCTTTCCTGAGAGGGCTGGACTGGAGCCAGAGGGTGGGCCTTACCATGGGCCTTGGCCTTGTACAGAGCAGCTGTCAGCAGGAAGCTTGAAATGTCCCCTGGCGCCAGGTCCTCTGCCCTCACAAGGCCTATGTCACCGTCTACGGCCTTCGCGGCCACAAGAGTGCCGCCACCGCCGCCGCCGGCCGCCACGCTGGACAGCTGGTAGGGACCCTTACCTAGCGCTGGAGAGGAGAGACCCTGTCATACGCCCCATGGCCACCCATCAGAAGTTGAGGAGAGGCGGGGTGTCAGAAAGGGACGTTTTTGGTGGCTTCTCATCCCAGACCACAGGACTTTAGTGGCTGTGACGGGTCAGGAACCCCAGGCTAGCAGCCCCTGAAGGAGATGGACCCTCCCTCAGTGCCTAAGCCATTGCGCAGGGAGCCCGTGACAGTCACCCCCATAAGCATGGCCATTACCGTGACAGACATCACTCCGTTAGGGACCCCCACCCAATCCCAGGGGGTGCCAGCCAGGACCTCAGAGCTCAAAGTCTGTGTCTATTTATCTCTTGCACATGTCTCATTTTTGTTTGGGAAGGGCTTTGGCTATAGGGTGGAGGGGATGTGGGTGTCCCAGACAATTGTGACAGCTTTATAAATGATCTTCCTGCCTCTGGTGTGTCCCATAGCTGTCTGGGTCACCTTCCCAGCCACTCTCCCCATGCCTAGGACAGAATCTCAAGAACACAGCTTTAATTCAGGGCTCTTCCACACTGGACCCGTGCTTTGCCCACTACCCCACCAGGCCTCCTGTCACACTGGACTTCCTGCTTCATTGAAGGAGCCACATGGCTGTCCTAACTCATCTCATCGTGCTGTCCCACACCCTCAGAGAAATCCTTCTCCTCTCCTGCCTTCAAGACACCTACTCAGTCCCTGGAGAGCAGCTCAAATGTCACCCACCTCCTTAGGGAAGTTCTCCCTGCACCCTTTCCCACCACACTCCCCTCCATGCTCTACCAGCTCTTGGAGCAAACACACACCAGTCACAGCTCTGTGGTGTGGATCCCATCTGTGTCCTTCATTAGAAAGCAGACAGACAGTGGAAGTGTGCTGGTAAATGGTCAGCAACCAGCTCTCAAAAAACAGATAAAAAGTGGGTCGCATCGGCTGATTTCGACGGTGTGAACACTCAAAGCAGTGACCAGTTTCAACCAATGCAGGGTTCAGAGCACACACATGGAGTGCTCCCATGTACCTCTGTAAAGGTCCTCTTTCCCAGCACCCCATGAGGCCTGGGCCACAGAAAATGCTGGGAGAAAAACGAACCAAGAAATGGGTGAGTGGGTGGGAGGGTGGGTGGAGGATGCTAGAAGCAGCTTGTCCTTTGCAAGTAACTGACACCCAAAATGCCGCAGAGGGGGAGAACTGCTGCTGAAATGTCTTGCCTGATGTCACAGGGACCCTCCTGTCCCAGGAAACGCCGTTTTCCCAGAGTCTGGGACCATCAGCTGCCCCTCGGAACGGCCATTAGGCAGGACCGTCTCTCTGAGCTGTGATGCTGCAGCCTGGTCCATCCAGCCCTTCTCTCACTGATCCCTGATCTTGTCTCTCGTTTCCTTCCCATAAGCCATAGTTGTTAGCTCTTAAACCTGGGACAAATGGCTAACTGAGCCGCCTAGTGACATATCAAAGCTGATGCTGGCTGCCGGGTCCTCCCAGCATACCTCAGTGCCTACCTGTTGTAGCAGCAGTTCTCAACCTGTGGGTCGCGACCCCTAGGGGGGTCAACCACCCCTCACAGGGGTCGCCTAAGACCATCTACATATCAGATGTTTACCTTATGATTCACAACAGTAGCAAAATTACAGTTATGAAGTAATTGTATGATTGGGGGTCACCACAACGTGAGGAGCTGTATTAAAGGGTCACAGCGGTAGGAAGGTTGAGAACCACTGTGTTACAGGGTCCTCCTGGCTGGCATATCCCACCCCCTACCCTAAACTCGTCCAGCCCAGGGGCTGGGCTGCCCTTCCCCCAGCTGCTCTGCCCTGCATAATCCAGCCGTTTCGGGTGTACCAGTGCTTTCTTATCCTCTTACCTTTTGGCCCCTTGGCTCCTGGCTCTCCTCTCTCCCTTCCCCCCCGTCTCTTCACATGGCCTGGCTCAGGGTCATGCTCACTCTGGACTCTTCCAGATGCCTCTGCCTCTAACTGTATTCTCCCTCGATTCACACTAAGCCTTCTCCTCCACGGTACCGAGGGACAGACATTATCTCCTTTTTATTTCTGGTTTTTCACTCAATAGTCTTGCTGGGAAGACGCTTCCCAAGCCCAAATCAGCATCAAAATGTACACGAAGCCTATGCCCACACCTACACAGGCCGGCTCCTGCAGGGTGCGCTGGGAGGAGATGTAGGGGATTAGACGCTAGGGCACTGAAGACCTCCAGGACTCCACCTCAGCCCAAGTGGGCCAAGTTTGATGCTGAGAACTATTCTGGCGGCCATCTTGCCACCGCCCATTCAACCTCTGATCAAACTGATTAAGTGGCTCTGATACAGACACTAATCTCCCTTGGTCCTTAGCAATGGCTTGTCTTTTCATCTCCATTAATACTCTAGATGTGCGTGCATATCTTGGTTCCATGAACTCTTGAGTATTTGAAGATCCCATCTAGGTATTCAGCAGCCTTCCTCAGAGAAAGCAATCTGCACCTGCTTTGGACAACTCGGGTCTTCAGAGAACCCTGGTGACACTTGATGAGCTTATCGGGCCCAATCAGAAACACTGTGGGGCAGACACACTAACACCAGTGGCTTCCTGCTGCCTGGTGAAGCCTCCCTGAATGATGAAAATGCCCAAGAAGGCTGCTGTCCTGGGCCTCACATGGGGCTGCAGGAACAGCTGTGGATAAAGTCCTGGACGTCCCTGAGCCTTGTGCCATCGGGACTCTGCATCACACAGTCCCTCCTGGAACAGTCTCAGCTGTCCCAGAGCCAGCAGCACCTCAGGAGGTCAGCACTGATGTGGCCCAAGGACAGAGTTAGCAGTGCCCCAGTCAGGCCCCGGCCCCCAAAGGCTCCACTTAGGGGGAAATCTGGCTTACCTTTGTTGAAGAAGTCACAGTCGTACGCTAAAGAAGAAAGGAGAGATTTCCCATTAGCATGGCACCTGGACCCAGCCTCCCCTCATCAGAGACTGGATCTGGCCTATTTCCAAAACTCCAAGATTGAGGGATGGACTTGGATCCAAATGGTTTTTGGTTTGCTTGTCTTTTGAGACAGCATTTCTCTGCATAGCCCTGCTGTCCTGGAACTCACTCTGTAGACAAAGTTGGCCTTGAACTCAGAGATCTGTCTGTCTTTGCCACTCAAATGCCAGGATTAAAGGTGTGAACTACCACTGCCTCGCAGATCCATGTGTCTTAAAAGAAGGAAACATAGTGTCCTTCCTTGCAACCCAGCACAAGGCTCAAAACCTGGCTTGGAGTAGCACTCAGCAATGTGATGAATGAATGAATGAATGAATGAATGAATGAATGAGCAAACAAACGAAGGAATGTTGGACAGAAGAGTATGTTTTGTGTGACCATAAACAGAATATGAAGATGTAGGAGTGACGATGTAGCCTAGTTGGCAGAGAACTTGTCTAGCATGTACAAGGTCCTGGGTCCAGTGGTTCTCCAGCATTGCATTATCTGGTGTGGTAGTGCACACCTCTAATCCCAGCACTCAGGAGGTGGAGGCAGAAGTATCAAGCTCAAGTTCATCTTTGGCTATATAGGGAGTCTGAAATAAGCCTGGACTAGAGATCCTGTCTCAAATACAATAAACGGAACCAAAGTGGAGACGCTCTGACTGGGTATTTTGCAGAAGAGCCCCAAAGAAGGAATGCAAGCATGAGACAGAAGTCCCTCAGCCTTGGATGAAACGGGACAAAGGGCCGCAGGATCCCGGGCTCCAGGATCTCCACAACCCCTTGTGCAGTATCTGGCTCCACCAAAGCGCTTTTAGGCAGGAAGGAGCCCCTAAAGCATGGACCCATTGCGCCCTCTAGTGGATGATCTGCATCTGTCCAGTGGCATCTCTTACAGATTCCTCAGTCCACCAGGGGTGAGCAATGAGGACCTTGCCAGAGTGTGTCAACCAAGAACAAAACTATGAGGAACCAGCTGGGCACACCTGGGATAAAGGCTGAGGAAGCATCTGCCTCACACACAGGGATGGTGTGAAGAGAGTCATCAACTCCTCTTTACACCCTAGACCCACAATCAACACATTTGGTTGTACCCTCTTGCCATCATTAAGGACCAGGAGATGAAGCCAGGCATGATGGCACACGCCTTTAATTCCAGGAGTTGGGAGGCAGAGACAGACAGGTCTCCATGAGTTTGAGGCCATCCTGGTCTATGTAACAGCCAGGACTACATAGAGATACCCTGTCTCAAAAATCAAAAACAGAGTGAGGAGTGGGCTTGCCATAAGCCTACAGGCAAGCACTTGCTTTTCCTCATTTGTGGACGTGGAGTGCTGAATGGTAAAACTCTGAGGTGGGGCTGGGGAGGTGACTCGGTTGGTAAAGCGCTTGCCTTACCAGCATGAGGACCGAGTTCAAGCCAGTGTTAGGGAGACAGAGACAAGGGGGTCTCTGGGGCTCATTGACCAGCCAGCTTAACAGCTACACACTGATGCAAAGAACACTTTTGCAGCTGGGCGGTGGTGGTGCACGCCTTTAATCCCAGCACTCAAGAGGAAGAGCCAGGTGGATCTCTGTGAGTTCAAGGCTAACC